GTATATAGTTGACCACATTTTTGTTCGTCTCTCGTTCCCAGGTCCCTTGTCGGAACTATACGGTCCGATATTCAGTGCTTTTTTATTAAAAGGCTAGTTTACACGTGACCGCTCTGGAAAATAGCACATTTTGAAATATTCAAGAGACAGCCTTCGTTCTCTCTTACTGAGGCCGCATGGAATCCGTGGAATCTGCGAAGTTGGGAGCAACGCACAATCCGAGAAAAATGAATGTATACGTATTGATAAGATTCTATTTCCCAGATCAGCGATCGCCACTTCTCCCGAAAGCACCGCCAAGGGCGGGGTTAAACGCCACTATCCAGTCTCTGGCGAGAAGGGCAAAATAATCAGAGTTTGCCGCTCCGCCGCGCGCGGCTACGAGCGCGACATTTCCTTAACTCGTATTTACCTGTTCATTGTAGCACCGAACTTCATGTAGACCACGTTACGTCGCACGCGACGCGCACAGCGAATTACGATCCCCTTTATATAACCCTAGGGTCTGTCGTCAATTCTGCTTTTTTCCAAATCCGCGGTCCTCCCAATCCCACAGAATTGTCATTTCTTCAAAGTCGGCGTGTATGGGTGTAGCCAAAGGCTGGGTTCAGACTTCGCGATGACGCGCGTCGACACGCTACCGTTGCAGTAGCGCACCGAAGGCTATAGACGACTACGCGGTCATAGAGGCATATCGATTGGCGCCGGTCGCTCATGTTTTGGGAGAGAAAAGAGGCTGCCAGTTCGGTGTCTGAGTGTTTTGGAGTAATTCAGGAGAATAGGAGAACATCAGACTGGTATTCTTTACGCACTCTTGTACGCTCCTATTCTCCTATACTCTCCCAAAATAATGCATTAGTGAACAAAACTAGTAGATGTATTAGGTTGTTCGGAAAGAAATGCGCGTTTGAGTCTAAAAAACTTTTTATTATAAAAACGAAATTAAACAAGATCAATTCAAAAGATAATCTCCATTACTATCAATGACTTGTTGCCAACGTTTATGCAAAGAATGGATTCCTCTTCGAACTCGGCCGGCTGCGACTCAAAGAAGTTGGACACCCAGAGTTGGACTTCTTCGCGGTTTGTGAACTTTCTCTCGGCCAGGGAGTGCTGCATCGACCGGAACAGATGGTAATCGGATGGTGCCAGGTCTGGGCTGTATGAGGCAGGACTTCCCAGCCCAATTCCTCAGCTTTTTTTCCAAAGTGATTCCTCAATTTTTTTCCAAAGTGATTTTCGCGACATGTGGACGAGCGTTGTCGTGGAGGAATTTTGTCGACGTCGTTTCGACACCTTGACGACGCAGTGCTTGATCCACGCGGTTCAATTGATCTTTGTAGATGTCCGCCGTAACTGTTTGACCCGAACTTCAAAGTACACCAAACCTTTGCTGTTCCACCAAACACAGAGCATCACCTTTTTGCCGTGTATATCCGGTTTCGGAGTCGGTTTTGGAGTGTCACCGGCGTCTAACCACTGTCTTTTTCGCGTTGCGTTGTCGTAGCAGATCCATGTCTCATCTGATGTAACAATAGAGTCGAAGAAACCGCTGTTCTTGGAGCGACGAAGAAGAATTCCGGCCATTGCCACTCGTGTTGCCTTGTTTGCGTCGCTCAGCTGGTGCGGCACCCACTCTTCCCAACTTTTTTTCTTCAAAAAAACAAAGTAGACATAGACAAAATATATCAAAAGATGCACAATAAAAATCTCTTTCTAATAGACAAAACTGTTTTGAAAAATCTTCTATAGTAGGAGAGAAATAAATGGACAAATTCAACGCGCTTCAACGCGCATTTCTTTCCGAACAACCTAATATTTGTTGCAAAACTTCACAGTTGTCTATCGTTGGAAAATATAAAATAGAGCTTCAACACATTAGTGACTCAACCTAATATGTAGAAATCAAATATTGCCGCCCGCCACATGACTTTGTTTCCTCAATCTCTTGCTTCCCAAAAGGTCAAAAACTACTCGTCGGACGTAGCACAGGGCGATGGACAAAAAAGGCACTTTGTTCATGGGCGTGTTCAGAGGAAAGGGGCAAAAAAGACATTTCGTTCGTCGGGCGCACCTAGAAAACGCATTTCGCTTTGAATGACGAGGTAAGTGGGCACTCTGGACGTTCGTATTAGACACTGTTTCTTTTGTATATCAGACTCCGTTCGGTAATGCCATAGCAAGGTTGTACAAACAGCTGAACGGCTGATGTTTCCCATTCATTGGAGCGGCGTTCTTCAGAAACCTACGCGCATGGGCATGATCCGTGGGAATCGCATAAGTGCTTCAAGCTGACCCGAAGATCGCAGGCTCCCTTGAGTTCTAATGGATGACGGATAGCGTTCATTCTCGTGGCAGTGGAAGCAATGGTGAAGAGCTTCCTCGTATTTTGAAGGAAAAGCTCAGGAATATGTAAGCTCTAACAAGGGAAGGATGGTAGGTCGAAGTGGCCATTTGAAATGAAATGTATACCGGCTGAAAGGTCTTCGGACGGGAATTACGAAACCGTCTTCCATATCTGCTGCGGACCTCCCAGAAAAAAGTTACGGAGCTTTTTAGAGGGAGAATACCACATCGTAACCTCTCAGCCACGCTGCTACCATCAGATCACACCAGTTTTACGCCCTAATTTGTGCTGAATGCGAGTATGCCCTCCAAAAGTTCCGTAACTTTTTTCTGGGAGGTCCGCAGCAGATATGGAAGACGGTTTCGTAATTCCCGTCCGAAGACCTTTCAGCCGGTATACATTTCATTTCAAATGGCCACTTCGACCTACCATCCTTCCCTTGTAAGGCCTTCCATGTATTGTGCCTTGCTGCGCAACGTCGGTGGTGCGCCCCACGAACATAAGGCGCTAACCTTGGCCCCTATAAGGATGACCGAAATGCTAGAGCCACATATTTCCAGGTTGATTCGTAGCCTTCGCGTTCAAAGTGGTGAAGTACTATCGTGCAGGGGCTGTCCCATCCGTTACCGTTTGGGCTATAGCACAGTTGTTTGCGACGATTCTCTTAGTCAAAAATTCACATTTCTGTGACCGCGTGTTGACGGGGAAGGCTTTGTACCCACGGTGGTAGCTGCGACCCGCATAGATGTTTCATAGCATGAGTTCCATCTATAAGGTGCATGGAGAGGACCTTCTGAGGTAGAGCATACAGCTTTTAGGGAAACAGAACGGGTAGTCCATTGAAAGTCAGCGAGGGGGCACAGCATTGGTTGGGGATTCCCTATGGGGGGGTCGTATTTGGCCGCCAAAAGGGGGGTCGTATTTGGGCTGGGAAAAATTTATTTTTATAGTTGATTTTTCTCGCTTTGCGGACGTTTTGGAGGGGGGGGTCGTATTTCTGGCTAGGAGTTACGTGGTTCACTTCATGGGTTTTATGAATTTTCTGTGTTATAGGTACTATGTACGCCCGTACGATGTACGTCGCATGCCTACTACATACCCCCGCTCGACAACTTTTTCGCCGAGTATAAACCACAACCACAGTCAGCCATGTCAGCCATCGTACGAGCATGGGGGGGGGTCGTACCAGCCCCTGAAAAAAAGGGGGGGGGTCGTAAAAGCTCGACCAAAATCCCCATCGAATGCTGTGCCCTGGTGCCAATGCTGCGAAGGACAGTGTTTGGGTGAGAATGAGTGGTAGCAGATTTCAAATGGATTCTCTTTACGTATTTCGAATCTAAAATTGTTGTTTTTGCAATTGCTTTCAAATTGATACAACAAAACCTTCGCAATTTCTGCACTAACTTCTGAACCTCTTTGTATAGAATGGTGCCCGAATGATTGTGAAATTTCTCGATTTAACTTCACACGGGATTGTTAATTAACCTTTACTGGCCTACTTCCGGCGGGATCGCCTTCTTCAGAGCCTGAAAGGATCGAAGCAATTTATGACTACCCGACCAAACGTTCTCCACTACCTTTCTGAAGTTCCAGATCACACCGTGAGACATTCCGATCTTCGAGAACAAGAAGCCGGGAGTAGGGCTGCTTCGAACCTTATATAAGGTCTCAGCTCCCGCGCTATTGCGACGCATTCTCCCCTCCGGTTCATTTTTGGATTGCTGACCTCAATCCAAAATGCCTCGAGGGTTTTGCGTGCAGATGTCTGCGATTCTCGCGCCAAGACCCTGACCTCGACTTCAAAATCATCCGGTCATGAATTTGAACCCTGTAGGCACGTGAGGCAGCAGACAAACGTGACCTACACTCGCTATTCAGGTGCTCCTTCACCCTCACATTGACTGGCTACGATGTTTCACCGATGTGCTCAGCCCCATAACTACAACAGGTGATCTCGTAGACCACCCTGAGATGGTGCAGTTGCCCTCTCCGCCGGTCGAACCGACTTCACAGTTAGGGGTTGTACATACACGGACTTTGGAGTCGAGGTCAGGGTCTTGGCGCGAGAATCGCAAACATCCGCACGGGAAACCCTCGAGGCATTTTGGATTGAGGTCAGCAATCCAAAAATGAACCGGAGGGGGAATGCGTCACAATAACGGGGGAGCTGGAACCTCGCGCGTGGGTGGACCAATAGTGACCCTCAGTGAAGAACAGTTCAAGAGCGGTCTTACTACCAGCTTGCTGGTCTCGAAGATCGGACTGTTCGGAGTGAGTGCCTCCCCCCCTTACGATTGATTAGGTGATGATCCGTAATGATCTCGAGTGGGGTAGTGGAAATGTTTGGTCGGGATAGTCATGAATTGCTTCGATCCTTTCAGGCTCTGAAGAAGGCGATCCCGCCGAAACGTAGGCCAATAAAGGTTAATTAACAACCTCGTGTGGAGTTCAACCAAGATATCTCACTATCATCACAATGTCGAGGTTTTTTTTAGGGAGCCTGAATGGTTTTCTTGTGAGTAATTTCAAGACTGTGGAAAAGGACTCAATTAATAATTCCGTTTTTTGGTTCAGTGCACTCAGGAGTGCTCTCTCGTAGTCGCAGAGTTTCTTGAACGGCCATTCGACAGATTTATTTTCGAGCTATTTTCAGATGCGTCTCCTCTTCCTTGCTATCATCCCCTCTTTGGGTATGAATACATTAGCACGGGGAATATCAAAGGTAGCTGTCATTTTCTAACTTTCAGTCATATTCACGCTACTTTCATGGAAGTGGTAAGGAAAAGTATCTTGTCATTCCTCTACGAGAGGGCGTTCAAATTCAGAAAAAAATATGATAGAACTCTTCTGTCCACCCAAAACCATAGATGGCATGGCGCTTTACAAGTCAGTGTTTTTATCCTATCCCAGACGCGTTTGCTATCTTTACTAGTAGAAGGATGACGAGTTTAATTGGATCAAGTGGAAAATCATAGGGGGTTTAACACGTGGACCATGTGCGCCCAGGGTACATAATCGTGATGTATGAAATGGTGGTGACGACCCCCCCCCTTTCCCAGCACCTACCTACCACTTTCCTACAAGTTCCCAGCTTCCTACCAGTTTTTCCGAAATTTTCCACATTGTTCAGTTTTCCACCCGGAAATTGGAGCGAGGGGAGGGGGGAACCAGTGTGAAACGGGAAAAACCGCGAAAAGTCAACAACCGGGAAGTTTTTCCCAACGCGGCAAATTTCTCTCAAAGGCACATACGTACCTTCTCCCCCAACAACGACCAAATACGACCCTCCCCCCCCCCTTCCTCCCCAGCGGTCAGTTACGACCTAAAAACGATGCTGTACCCTGTGCACACCATGTTTCACCACTTCTGTGAGTAAATAGGGCTAATGCCCGGAAGGAAAAAACCACCTAGCCGCAACTCAATCTTGATGTCCGTGTGATACTGTAGGCATACTTGAAATCCCTGAGATCGGGTAGGCGTGGCTGCATGCTTCAACTTAACCTGAAGGTGTCTATGCTTCTGGTGAGATATTTTCATCTTGACACAATTGTTGTCGTGTCTCTGTCCAACACAGAACAAGATGACAGTTGTCCCAGACTGGAATATTCCACGAGTAACCAATTCCGTGCCATGTTCAAATGCCACGCCTACTCTGGCTCAGGGATAAGGAGTGTAGAATAGCGCTGTAGAACGAGAACACTGTGGCAGAGCTTGCTACGAAATTGATTATTTGGTAGGCTATTTTTGTGGCTCTTGTGGAACCATCATGGACGTTCTCCAGCCAGAACTAATTTATATGACAGGTTTCAAACGAATTATTTCAATTATTACAATGTGCGCTCACTAATTCGATTCCCATTCAATTCAAAATTCTGCTTGTGTTTGATTGAATTTGAACATACCTTGTCACGAATGTTTTCTCGGAGTTTTCAGAAAATCGCGAATGTCACTTGAAAAAACCCAACAGATTAGGCGCTATGGCGTTAAACCTCAGAGTTCAAACCAGTTTCCTGTATTAGGTTCAGGGAAGTCACTCTAATACCTCAATATAACTTTGCATGTCCTTCAAATTGAGCAGTGAGCACTTTGTAACGAATGTAATGCGGTAGCAGTGCAAATGTTACTATTGAAAAATTTACGAATTTTGAAGTTGAGGGCATGGCACGCCACCGCGTTGGGTATTTCTGCAAAATACGACCCTCCCGAATTCCATCCTCTGATACGACCCCCCCCCTCCATCCTACCTACCACTTTCCTAGATTTTCCCAACTTCCTACCACTTCTTTCCAGTTTTTTCCGGCAGTTCCCGAAAAACTTCTGATTTTTCCCAGAGATTTCGCTGCTGAGCGGGGGGAAGAGGTATATGACCATGTGAAACGGAAAAATTTTCTTAGACTTTTCCCACCTTCCTACCGCAATTCCCGAAAATTTCCCGGAAATTCGATTACTTTTACACTTTTACCCAAAAATTTGCTGTCGAACGAAGGGGGGTGGGGCGGTCAACAGCGGGGGAAAGTCTTTACTAACGCCGCAAATTCCTCTCAAAGACGAATACGACCCCCCTCCCTCCCAACAACGAGCAAATACGACCCCCCCCCCTCTTTATAGCTTCCGTGAAACAAGAAAAACCGGACTATCAAAAAAAAATTCTCAGACCAAGTACGACCGCGTCTCGCTCGCGGTCCAGTACGACCTTCCCCCTCCCGTTATGATTATCACAACGATGGCGTGTCCTGGTTGAGGGGACCAGCCAGCACTGCAATCGACTCAAAGGCATTTCACGCAGGGATAGTGCTTCCCTTTTCGCTCGTCTCATATGAGAGAGGGGTTTTTCAACAGCTCTGCGCGAGAGTCTCTGCTCAGAAGACGCTATCTTGGCAATCACAAAACTACGAGAAAAGGCGAAGAATAGCAGATCCTCCTAAAATGTTGAGGACAGGGTCAGAACTCGCTTTGTTCCTATTCATTTTCGCGTTTTCTCTGATACTTCCACATAAAGAAACGGTTCACGATGACCTGTGAAAATGCACAAGATTCAGGAGGTAAGGTGGTCCGCAATAGACAACCTTTTGCCAACATCGCGGCGGGAAGTTGAAAGGTAAAGGAGTCACGGCGCAAAGTTGGTCAGTGACACCTCCCATTTTTCAGTGACTCCGCCTCCACACTCCACCTTCAAAGTCCGCCTTTAGCCAAAAGCGATGCTGCGCGACGAGTAGCAGGGAATGGATGCTGTCATGTCTTGTTATCTCTTGAAGGGGCACAGAGTTTATTGCAAGGAATTAACCGACTCGAGTCCCAACCCGAGCGGTTTTCTGGCCTTTCACCCGTACACTTCTTTGGAGCTGGGGGGGGTCCTATTAAAAACGTATTGGAATTTTCCCTTGACATTCTCTTTTCACTGACAAGTCAACTGGTAATTTCTCTCCCATATTCCAGCCCCACTACACACCCTCCTTACTGCAGACCGTGCCTGCGATAGGAACATATTTCTATAATACGTTCCTCTGACGTTTCAGGCAGTGATTAATTCCAGGTAGCTGGACTCAGCCACATTAACTTCGCCTTGAACCCAATTACTTCAAAGGTCGCTAAACATTCCTCAACAAAGGAGGAGCGAGTCAGCGATGATGAGACGTCATTTTAGAGCAATAAACCAATAAATCTCTTTCACAGCAAAAACCTCTGTACGAGTGGCGAGTGTTCGATTCACCGATCGCAGGTATCCCTTGCAAAGTGCCCACTGGAAACGGACAGCGCAACTGGGACGATCCAGATGACTGCGTCATGCTGTTCAAGACGTCTAAGTAAGCAATGCATGGATTGGCGCAGTTCGGCGATGGGAGGGGGGCATTTTGCACTTTTGTTGCTTCACTAGTTCCGGTTTACAAGTCTCACTCTGGTGAAACCTGTGAACTCTTGTGAAGCTGGAGCAAGCTCGTCAAGCCATCATGGTAAAACCTGTCAACTCGAGAAGAGGCTGTCTAGATGGGTCGACACGTCGATGGGAAGTCGTTAAAGTGCAAAATGCCCCCCCCCGTCGCCGAATTGCGCCGCATGGACCTACTATTAAACTAATACTTCGCCAATCAGGAGGGAATGCTTCTTAGTTCGATGATTTAAGGGAAACTATGCGTCAGGTGGCACCGGCAAAGCGACTTGCTTTAGAGAAACAACCGAAGGCTTGTAAGGTACGTTCACTAACAGAAAAACCTTCCACATAGATTCGTTCCATTTTCGTTTAACCTTGGATCACATTTAGAAAGAACTTTAGTCCAAATATCATATAATTTTTCTTGCACTAGTTGGCATACCATCGAGGAAAGAGCAGAGGGAACCTCAAAAACATCTTGAATAAGTTACTGGTAGGTCACTACGGCCACTGTCGAGTCGGCATAAGGCATAAGGCACAGGCCCGATTGCTATTCAACATTATTTGAGCGGTGACTAACCATGACCAGACGCAGAGACACTCAAAGAACGAGACACGAAGCAAAGACGGATTAGAGCCACGACGAGGGTAAACAAATCGGCCGCAATGCTACACAATAGCTGTTCAGCTTTTACTACTTTCGCGACTCGAAACTGATTATGAGCAAGGCAACCTTCGGACTTCGCGATGGCGCGGTCGATGCGCGACAACGCGCTGTAACACGCTTTAATTGCAATAGTGCTCCAATGCTATTTAGCGGCGCCGATCGATTCCCGTACGCAGCGGCCACGGGAATCGATCGACGTCGCTTCTGCATAAAGGAGTAAGGGGGGGGGGGAGCTGGAGGGTACGTGTTGTCTAATCAGTCCGGCATCGATCGGCACTGGCCGCTAGGAGGCGGGGGGGGGGAGGGGTGAGGTGCAGATCGATTAATCACCGCCACATCCATAGGATTGGAGCGCTGTTGCAATTGCAGCGTGATACAGCGCGTTACAGCGCGTCGTCGTGCGTCATGGCGAAGTGTGCTGCCTGAAAAGGGTGCCGAAATCCTAATTCGTAGTAGCGACACCCCAACCACCAGTAACGACGCCATTCAAAGATGATTGCGAATGACCACTGCTTCTTAGCATTCTCGTCCTATAATTCTCAAAGTATACTAGAAAAGAGGGCCTTTATTCAAGGCGTTTTCGTTCGGTACCTCATTACTGCTTGGCCAACTAATTACTCGTAATCAACTGATTCTGAGACACACTTTCTGCTCCCAAATACACTAAAATAAATGTAAATCTCCTAGTTCAATGAGAAGACTTGTTTTTAACATCCTTACTACAACAAGCGACGCTTAAGTTTTAGCCACCTGATGTGGTGAACTCGTTGCCGGATCGTCTTCGAAGTAGAATTTTGGCCATCTGGGAGGAGCGAGATCCGAAAGGCGACTGCTTTCAGCAGCAACGAAGGACACGGTATCTTTCTGAGAAAAAGTTAACGTCAAGGAGATATTCTCTCTTCCAGGTTGATACTGCTGAACTTGCCTCCATCTCTGAGGAAAGCCATTCGACCAAAGGCTCTTCAGTGCTCTCTTCCTCACTTCATCGATCGTCTCGAATGGGACCTACAGGTTCGCATAGGAACTTGCATATTAATATGTGACCAGTTAAAAGGATTGTTCACAGTCCATATCGGAGGAGAACAAGGCGGCGTGGCTGCAAGAGTGGTGAGGGTACAGACGAAAGAGGACATATGTATGAAATAGGAGACTTGACACGGCAACACGAGCGTACGCCAGTGTGGTCGGGGCACCCCTTTTCGTTCTTCAGGAGGGACAATACTGTTGGGATACACCGAGCACTATTGTTGTAGGCAAGCCAACGATCGCTGTGGGCTGCCTTTGTTGCCGACGTTATTGGTGGAAAGGTTGCGAGAGGGCTTTTGGTTGCACACCACTCTTCCCTTCCATCAATTAACGGCCCGCATACAGCGATCTTGTCCACTGCCTCTAAATCATTCGGCGAACATACCCATACAGCAACTACTCAAGAAGGATACCCTGAAAACCCCGGGTTTGAAAAAACTCCCACTAAATTTTCACAGTTCCTGCGGTTTGGGTTCCTGTTTTAGCATGCGCGGTCCGCGCCCCATTCTTGGTATATTCCAATTTGTCAATTGGAGCAGCTAAAGTTATATGAATTCAAGCGAAGGCAAGACTTCATGCTGAGTTATATCTATCTGTCCCCTCCATGTCATATGCAAATTTGAACGCCTAGGCCGGACAACTCATTCCTCGTGTGCGCAGCGTCGCTCACCCTACCCAGCGCGGGATACTAGGAATTTCTTGTCACATATTTGTTATTGTAGGTGCAGCTTCGTCGACTATGGGCCGGTTACAAGAAAGGAGAGCCGTGTTCAAAGGTAAGTACATCACTACTATACATGGAGAAATGATGGACCATGGAGACTCACAGTTCCTAGAATTTTTTTTCGAAGTTTTGAAGGTGAAACCTTACAAACCTTCTCCACCCCAAACCGAAATTTCCTGCATGATCTCTTCCACATCACTTCTGTAGAGCATAGATGTTTTATGAGAGACTTCGTTTTGCAAGAGTCTCGCAGACGTTGAGGGATGGTGCAGGGACGGGGGGCGGTATTGAAACAAACAGTGATGATCCTTGCAAACGATGAGGGTAACGCGGCGTTCCGAACCAGGGTACAGCATCGTTGGAAATACATGAAGAGGTTGTACTTTCCCGCTGGGGAAGGGGGGCCCGTTGGCAGGGGGGGAGGTCGTACTTTTAAGAGAAATTCGCTGCGTTGAAAAGAAATTTTTTTCTTGGCTATTGACTTTTCGCGATTTTTTTCCTGTTTCTTATGTACTATATTCCCCCCTCCCCACCTTCACCCTCCCCCCCCCTCC